ATCTTTAATGTTCTTGTAAAATCATTTTGTATATTAAGCAATGTTCGTAAAACACGTACTTTATTCATTAAATTATTATATGAAAACCTTTTGCTTATATTTATATTGTATTTAATTATTGATTTAATAAAATAATTTTGAACAACTATATAGTAATAAAAAGATTTCATTTATGCCAAATAAATGTATTAATGTATGTATAATCTAATTTTTTTTTATTTTTTTTTTGTCACGACTTACTACTCTTTTTTTCGTTGTTTAACTTTCTCTTCATGTTGTGCGTAAATCATCGAAGTGAATGGTCTAAAAAAAGAAATTGAAATGAGTAAAGTAGAATATATTTATACAATAAATTCATAAAACACATACCCTTCATATTTTAGCGCAATTAAGTAAAGTACAAAAGCCCAGATAGTCAAAAGCATCCCGGCAGGACTAGCATACCATAAAGCAGTAGATAAAAATACCATTGAAGAGCCATAGTACATGGGATTTTCAAGAACATTAAAAGGAAAAGATGTAACTCTTTCACTCATTAAAATACCAAAATAATCACCTAATGATTTTTCATATACACATCAAAAAAATATTAGTTTACTCCCATTATTAAAATAAATAAAGGTTTGACACGTACCAAGATAGGTTCCCGTAACACCTAACACGTACATTGATGATAATACAAAAATATTTCCAGTAAAGAATAAGACCAAAGCTAACCCTTTTGAATAATCATTATTTAAAGAAGGAAAGGTTGGTTGATCTTCGATTGCTTTTTTGTATCTTAATTTTTTCAAATTTGGGAGATAAAAAAAAAAAAAAAATTTTGAATTAAATCGGATGAATAGTATGTAGAAAAATAAATGACTTACAAGAAATCCCTAAAAATTCCGAGAGAAAAAATCATTAATGCTAAACAATAACAACCAACATAAGGATTTCCACCAACGAAACGAGATATTACTCTCGTTTTATGTTCTACAATTGTTTAAAAGGTTCGATTATTATTAAGTTTACTTGATTTATTAATAAAAAGGGTAATAAATATATACCTTTTCTCGCGGCAATATTCCAAAAGAGTGGATTAAAAGTTATGGAAGCGAAAGAAATCCAAAAAGATGTTTGAGAAAAATCGATATGGTCCAGAATTTCTTGATACATTTTTAAATAAAGAGGAAACGGTAAACAAAAATTCATATATCGAAAGGAAAGGCGCGTTTTAATAAAAAAAATATATTTTTTTTTTTTTGGTACCCCCCAACCATGTGAGATCATAATTACCAGATTATCTACAATTTTTGGTGATCTTATCTAAGATTTACCATATTGAACTGACATCATTATTATTATTTATTTTTTTTTTTGGTATTTTTTTGTTGCTCAAATACATAAGATTATCACAATACAAATGCATTTTCTTGTCATATTACTTCATTAGATAAACAATCTTTGTGTCAAAAGACCTCAATTAATCAAAGGTCAAAAATAAATTATAATTTTTTTTATAAATAAAAAGGAATAAAGATAATTTCTACATTATGATCGATCAACCTGAAGTACATTAAGCACGATGGGACCAATATCATGTGTATCTACCATCTTCCATAACACTATTTACATTAACCTTCTCATAATGTCCTCTCAAGAAATTGATTCACGCGTTTAAAAGTATTTGTTACCATTAATTACAAATCCCTTCGATTTCATCGTTATTAAATATAAAACAAGAGTTAACTAAACCATAATAAATATATTTATTTACAAAAGGAGTAAAAAATTATTGCAATGTGGAAATGGAAATTATAACAAAATTAAATTACATACTAATAATGAAAATAAGTATAATTTTTAATGATCAAAGGTGTTCATTATTGAGCCTTTTCATAGAACAACATATACGCTTCTTCGTTAAGCACTTGCTTTAACTTGACTTCCTCAACATATTCATCCGAAAGGCGCCACCAAATATCACTATCCTCCTTGCGACGATAAGTAACAAAGTGACCAGATCTATGATCACCTTGATGAACAACGACCGATTTTAACGTGTAAATATTTCCACCTTCACATGGAATGTCACTTCTCCGGCTACTTGCACCAATACCCGCTAAAATCGGTGACGACATTGGGGACGATAAGATTGGTGATGGTGGTGATGACATTGGTTCGCTAGGCATATTAGCCAAATACCCTCCTGAAATATACTTCATCATGTCAATTGAATCAGAGAATTTGACTTTGCATGGATTCTTTAAAGTCCATCCGCTTTGATAATAAATAGATCGAGAAAAGTGGATGGCAAAAACATCAGGCAATTTTGCAAACATTGTATGTTTGCTAGCCGTGCTTTTAACGTGGGCCAATTTTGTCAGTTGTAATTGACTACTTATGTCCGTATCAACGTCGGTCGCAAGTGCTTTTTTGATAACCTGTCGGTCATCTTCGAGCTTTAATTCATTCTCTTTGTCGTTAGGCGTCCACTTTGCGTCCTCGAGCGCATTTTCAATAGTTGCTAATGTTTCAACCAAACTGCAATGTGGACAGTTATATTCGTCAATAAAATCAGTCCCGGCATATGTTTTTAGGAGAACGTCTAGAGGGACAGATGGTAGTCCTGAAGGCAGTGGAATCGAGATATTATCGAATGTAATGTGCCGAATTGGCCCACAATATCCGCATTTCATACAAGAAACCCGGCAGGCGGTTAATCCGCGAAGAGGATTACGATCACTTACAAAATGCGTGATCTTTTCGTCTTTGGAAGCCAATTTTTTAATTATTTCCAAGTCCAAAAGAGATTTCGGGCGTCTGTCATAATCTTCTTCTGCCCCAAGAGATTGAATCAAGAGTTGAAACAGCTCATGAGCATCTTGTTGTTGCCTATTAATTAAACGTCTTGCATTTGCCTGCAGGGCCAAAACTACGTCAGTCGCAATAAATGACTGTTGTTTCGTTAGAGGTTCATTGAGCCTCTCTAAAGTCGCGTGCAAAGCAAAAGATACCGGTCGCTTGGTATCCGATAGATTACTTTCTACTTTTTTTTCCAGATATTTCCGAAGACCTTTTAATGATGCCAGACTTTGTAGTACAGAATTAAGAAAACAGATATTATTGCCTTGATTTATTAGACCAAAAGTATAAGTTTTTATCTCAATCTCTTTATTGAGGTTATTCTTTTTCTTCCGTTTTGAATCCTTTGTTTTTGGGGTGACAAAAAACGGTGTAATTATTAAGATTGTTGTAACAACTAGTGAAGCGGTAACTAGATTACTTGTTTCCATAGCGACCAACAAACTTAATGACAGTAGTCAGAACAGTGCGATAAATTTCATCATGCAAGTTTTTTGCCTCGAAATTAAGGTTGCATAATTCTAATTCGATTTTCCGAGCGATCGTCCAAAAGTTGAGAATTGATTGGATAAAGGGAATGTACGTGTAAATGTTTTTTATCTGGGGTTGATGACTTGGAACAGATCAGTTTTTCGAATAAATCTCGACCAATTAAAAGTCGAAAAAAATTTTTAATTCAATAAAGATTTAATTTGTACAATTCAATAAATTTTTAGTATCAGCCTAGATCAATTTTGGTATCAGTCTAAATAACATATATTAGGAAATCATCAATGGAAGATATATTTTAAAAGGCACGTGATGTCAAATTTGTTAAAAAATTGATGTAAAGCTTGCAATTTGAATCATCCCTATTATCAACATTGTTTTTGCAAGAATAGCACGAAATTCTTTTCATAGATGAGATCCAAATAATTTTATCAAAACATTAAAAAGCTAAGATCAACTTAATTACCATATTGGTATGATGAATAATAATTTCATTTAAGAGTTAGAATTTGATTAGTAAAATTATCACTTAAAAATTGACTTATGCCTTTTTAAAGGTAACTCTTTTTCTAAAACAAAAAGTTTTTACTAAACAATTATTTCATTCATATAATTCTTATTTCCTATTGAATTGTTTGTCTGATTCATTTTATAACTATTAATCTAATGATTTCATATAGCAAATTATCTACCAAAAAATAATACAAAAAACAAGTATTTACCAAAAAATGATAAAGGAAATAATACAGACAATGATGATAATGATAATACTTATAATGACAACAAGTAAGTTAATTTCATAATTTTTATTCAAGCTATTGTAGTTAATCTTATTCCATATTATTTCTAAAATGTTTACATCTATTAGAGAAGCTTTTAGGACTATTTTCTCATAAGCCTTCAATAAAGATATTGGAAAGTATGAGAAACAATTTGATAAAATGAATGATTATGATCCTGTAATCATCATCTCTTTAAATTACAATTGAATAAATCAACATATGTTTCAATATTATTAAAGGATAATAAATGTATTTGCGATAATAATCTTACATAGATAATAATTTGCTCTATATATTTCATTTTTCATATATAAATGATCTCTATATAATACACAGAAACATCTGCAAACTTTACTGCAATGCATTCTTTAACCTTAACATTTAACTTTAACAAGAACCAATTGATACCACTTGATTACTTTATAACATGAGAAAACATAAATACAATTTTAGTGAAGATGATAGATTCTTTAGTTTTAAATCAGAAATGTAAATAAGTGAATTAAAAATTTATTTATTAGAATTTTTTAGGTGATTTGTTATTAGAATCTTTAAAGCTAAAAAATAAATTACCAATTTTATAGTAAAAACCATTTACTTATTGCTTCTTAAAATTTTCTTTTTTATTTAAGAGATCAATTTTTTATATAATTACTTTATAATTTAAGAGAATCTTTTTTTTTTCATAAAATTACATTATTTTTTACTGTTAAAGTTATGTATATTTAAGAAAAGCTTAACTTTAAAACAAATATATTAGAAATTGGATCTTTATATTTTTTTTCTAAACTATAATTTATAATAAAGATTTTTATTATAATAAATTTTTATAAATGCTTTTATTATTGTATTTATTATTAACTTTTTGTAAATACATTATTTATTATATTTGCTAATTCAAATATTTTTAAAATAAATTTAATTATTTTGTTTCATTTGCTTATGGTTAACTAATTAAAAATTCTAATAATTTTGTTAATTATTCAAGTTTTTTAGCTCTTTTTTATAGAGTCTAATATAATAAAAGGTATTATAATGTTACATTATATAACCTTTTTAAATGATATAATAAATAGACAGTTATTGTATTATAATATAAATTGATATATATACATATATTAAAAAAAGCTATAAGGTAGTATAAAAAAGATTTTTCTGATATTTGCTTCAACTATTTTTTTGATTTTTTTTTAATAATACTATAATATTATTTTTTTATGTATCTTCTCATTTTGTCATTAGAAGTATAACATATCTGCTAATCTGCAGAATGGAGGATTATACTACCTGTGTTAATTAATATGATGATCATTAACATATGGTGGCTATATATATAAAAATGTTATTTAATAAAATAGTTTTATCTAAAAGGTATATATTAAAAAATGGATTATTCAAAAAACAAAATAAATTTTTAGTTATCTGATAGGGTTATTTATTATTGTTTTAAATAATTATCTATTATAGAAAATTTTAGAATAATCAATAAAAATCACTTTATGTCTTTACAACTTATTTCATTACTTAGTAAATTTCTATTTTGAGATTGAATATGAGATATGACAGACACATCAGATATGACCAAAATAAATAAATATGCATATATAGAAAAATTCAGTACTATAATGTATTGTATAATAAAATTTTTAAATAGAAATTATATAATATGATACGTTATTTTAGTCATGTGAAAATTAATCATCTTTTTTTGAAACAATGCTGTCAGACACAAAAATATTAGTAATCAAAAAATTATAGAATACAAGCTTCAAATTGAGAAAGATTCTACATATCCACTTGATAATAAAATACTTTATTGCGAATGCACAAATAACATTACTAAATATAGTTTCAGTTATAATATTATAAAAAAAGGAGTTTACCTTAATGGAATTGGATTAAAGACGAATAATGAAAATAAAAGTCCCAAAAAAAGATCATATAAAATTCCACACAATTATGTTATAGAAACAACTTGAGGTCAGGCTGCTAAAAAATGAACTGTCCGTTATGAAATTGATTATATAAATACAATACCTTAATTTTAGATCAAGTATAGCTCTAATTTTCAACATGTTGTTTTTTTAACCAAATCTACAACTGATGCAACAATAAAATATAACAGGCAAGTATTTTATTAAGTAAACTAATTTATTATTATATTAAATTATATAAATTTCTATCTAATTAAATTATTTGTTTTATTAGTTATTAAAATTAGAAACTAAAGCTAAAATTTCAGATCCTCTATTATTTGGATTACAATTGGATAGTATACGAAAAGCACATGAATCAAGAAAAAGAGGAAATTTAATTAAGCCAGCTATTAACTATACTTCATCAACACTTAAAAAATGTGTTAAAAAAATCGTGACAAAAATACAATCTAATTTCAAGAATGACATTAAGAGAGTTTATCACCAATCTGATCGAGTTATATTAAAAATGTTAAATTTTCTGTTAATGAAGCAATTATTTTCAAGTAAGTTATAGGTCTGAAAATGAAATTAATAAAACTAACCAACTCTACTCTATAGTAAAAGCAGTTAATCAAGGTCAAATACCTAAAGATTCTTATTGAGAATTAGCAGCTGTAAAGACTCATTTACCACGTAAAAATTCTATTTCTAATGAACATATTGCAATCACTAAATATATAAATCAATTAATTAAAATATCATTAATTAATGTAAATGAAAATAATAAATTAGAAGAAACTTTAAAATCAAATGAATCAGAATTTATAAATCCAGAAATTACTTAAGAGGCTATTAATATAATGGGTATAGGTATTTACCGAAGTATAAAAGATATTCTCCATTATATTATTCATCATTTGAAAAAAAAGAGATATTAAGATTATCAGATCCTACTATTCATTTACGTATTTTCAGTGATAGATGTAATGTAAGATGTAAAATTAAGCATATTATGGTGACATTTATGATTTTAAACTATAAGAAGCGTCATCACTATGCAGATTATTACTATATTATGGTATTATATCTAGGAATGAGAATTATAATACACTTAAATTTATATTAAAACCATTTTTTGATGAATTGCAGTTGTTAAAGAACATGGATTAGAAGCAGCTGGAATTTTGTGAAATTTTGAGTTATATTTCAGTTTTAATTAGAAGTTCTTAGTATTATGCCTTGAATTAAATAGTATTACATCCAAATATTTTTATTCTTGATGCTTGTGTTCAAAAGATCAATACAATGATTTAGATAAAGATTAGCGCATTAAAAAAAATATGAAGTAGATTGCGGCAAAATATGAGGATGTTAATAGTTATATTCACCCATTCCTCTTTAATATAATTGCTATTGATCATATAATTTTTGATGAGCTACATATTTTTTTACGAATTACAGATTAATTTTGGAAATTAGTATTAGCTGAGATTAAAGAATGTGGTTTATTTAATAATTTAATACAAGAAGTTATTATGAAAAAAATGCAACGATTAAAAGTATCTTTTTGTTTTTGAAAAAATAAGGGATCTCATAATTGGGAATATACATCCCTTATAAGAGATTATAAGGAAAAGGATTTAAGATTCTTTAATTTAGCATTACTTTTTAATCCAACTTGAGCACAACTGATTAGGAATCTTTGAGATTAATTTTATCAATTATATTATGTATTTTGAAATAATACTACTGATCTAGAATAGTTAAAACATTAAACGCTTGATTGATTATCCTTATTTCTTACACCATCATAAAGTGATTTCAATAATTCAAAAATTTTTATACGAGGATTATATTTATTAAGCCAAATAACTCCTTATATTCATGCACTAGTATATCATAGATAGGAACTTTTAGAAAGATATAAAAAATGGAAACTTAAAGCATTTTCGTGTTCAGCGGTTAAAAAAAAAACTATAATCAAGTTTTAACATTTTTTTCATAAAACTCTTAAAAATGGTGAAAATTCATTAAAAAGGAAATCTGCAATATAAAAAATTATTAAATATGAAAATTGTACATTTTATTTTACTTATATTTTATTACCTAAATCAAAAAAATCAAAAGACTTTACATTAAATAAAATTTGAATTATATATATATTTTTATTTGTTTTTATTTGCAAAAAATTCTATTTTATTATACATTTTGTAATTATGTAATATAAAAATTAAAATATAT